CCACATATTTATTAGTAAGATGTGTGTACAGAATGTGGTCTTTAAATATCACTGTCTCGGTGCATTCTTTATATGAGAGGAAAATGCTTAAATAAACACGTCGCGGTCACATTTTGATCTTATATGCATATCTGCACATAGTATATGCTTTACAATTTTGTCTTTATCACTGTCTTGGTACATTAAGCCACTTTAAGCATTTTAGAAAGTCCCCTGTTCAAATTCTGCTAATTCAGAAGCCTAGTGAGAGTGAGTCATGCTCGCAAAGGTTGTTAACTATTAAACCAACCAAATCAAAACTTTCAAAAACACACTGCACTGTGATTCTTTTATTGAGTGAGAGTCAGTGGGTTTAATCAGTGACATTAACAGATTTACTATTCGGCGTCTTCTCCGCGACCTCCTTCCTTGGTGTTTTTATACATAGAAAAGGCGAAAAAACATATAGCATTGTCCAGTTTTCTCTCAGAACGATGATCTGAGTTACTATTGCAATTATCGATGCAGTATGAATGACATACACCGGTGACATTTTTCACAATCACGACAAACAATCAAATACTGCCCTAAACTCAGTAGCGGAAAGGCAGCGCTATCCTGCAAGTATGGCGGATAAACAAAGCAGTTTCCCAGAACTCAACGCGGCGTTACGTCACATTCTCATTCCTAATTGCTCTTGTAAGAACCTCACACTTCAGGTCAGTAGGCAGTTAAGGAGCTCTTTGAACGGATGACTCTGGAAACAGCTCTGATAAACCTGAGAAAGAAAGAGTAGCACAATTAGAGCTCTTTTCCTTTGTTCAGACAAACAGATTTAAGCTGGAGTCACACATACTATTCTTGTTCAAGTGCAGGAGATCATTTCCATCACACAGTGATGACATTCTGCAATACAAAGACATCAGGAAACCAAACATTAAATAAGGTAAAATTACACTAAAATACAGAACAGCTCAATGTGCTTTAAAAACTGTGAACAATAAGAAAATGGAAGAAAACAGATAATGTGAAGTAGTGAACATTCACCTTAAATGCCCCCCAGGTCTCCATATTCCTCCTCATGTGAAATGCACAGACTTGGCAGTAAAATACCTAATCAGCATATCAAATGGCACTTAACACTTTTGTTAAAACAAAGCACAAAAACAAAAAACTTCAGCACATTCCAACAATTAAGACATTCAGTGGAAGTAAACAGCAAACACCAGCAAACAGCTTGTGCAGCAGCAGCAGCCAGTAACAATCATAATATAAAAACACATTACATAAACGCACATTTGGCATTGTGTAGCTGCTTCTCTCCACAGTGTCTTTCAGTGCAGTTCCTGAGATTCATAGTTTGATCAAGGACACAATGATGAAATTACATGGATAAACCTTTGCTGGATTTTAACCACCTTTCTAACCACAAATGTTTGTTAATCAAACAATCAAACATCAGCGTGGACTGTGAAATGTTCCATTTCTCAAAGGTTCCTGTTAAAAATGTCAGTTTAGAGTTGACAATGCTGGCAGAACAAAAGAGGCTTGCTGGTTAAATTAGGTGTAAAACACCAGCATTCAAAACTCAACATAATGGTGTTTCAACATAAATGTTCCTCTCTAGCTCAAGTTTTGAAAACATTCCCTGTTGGCTGTGATAGTGTCGTCAAGATGCCAGTGCTAAAATTGTGAACATTTGCACATATACATGAAGAGTGCTTGCATTTTTCAATGTGACTATTTGGCAAAAAAATGCCTTTCTTGAAAAGATTCTCATGTTCACAGCAAGCAATAAATTAATGTAAACAAAACATCTGATATGCCAAGATAACATTTACATGCAAACAAATATTCTGTTGGTAATCTGATTGATGGCTCAGTTGGATTGTCAAGCCTTCTTGTAAACACTAGAAAAAAGCAACATCATTTTGTGTATTGCCATTCTGATTAAGGGCCTCTAGTTCATGATTGTGCACCGCCCTGGTTCCTGTTTGAAAAATAATAATTAATAATAAAAAACAAAACTTAATTTTGTAAATTAGCATAAAAACACCTTAACATATTTAAAAGATTCTGTGTGCACAATAAATATTTTCATTTTGTAAAATCAGCTGTAATACTTGCCACTCTGTCTTGATCTGTGCCAACGGTAAATCCCAAAAACAACTGCAGCCACCAGCAGAACAACAACAATAGTAGCACATATTCCTCCTGCAGCAGCTGAAGACAGACCTGGAGCTGGAACAGCTGAAGACAGTCATTATAGAGATTGGCTAATAATCAACTTTACCAAAACTTTTGATATTGTATCATTTTGATATTGTATACTATTGATAAATGACAGCAACTAAAACAGTGACTCTCACAAAAAAACTGACTAGCATTCTTTTATTTTTAACAATACACTCAAACATTTTAAAATTCATAGTGTGACATAAAACTCATTGTGACGACTACCCGCCAGTTTGACAAGTATGTAAAGGTAACAGATGATCAAAGCTGGAATCATATACTGAGAAGATTTAAGCATTTCAAACTGTTTTGTAAAATTGCTCTGAATGACTAAATTATACTCACTAGTGATAGAAACAATGAATCTTCTACTGATGCTAAATCTGCTGCTGATGATCTGTAGTGTGTAATCTCCAGAGTCTGTGGTTCTGGTGTTTGTGATGGTCAGAGATCCAGTCTGATGATCCAGCTGCAGTCTGTCTCTGTATCTCTCTTTACTCTGATCATCTGTACAGGTTTTACTAGGATCTCCAGTGATTTCAGCTATAAGAATGTCTTTAAAATACCACATCATACAATCATTTGTTTTTTTTATTTTACCAGGATGTAAAGTGACAGATTCTCCCTCCTTCGCTGCCTTTGTTTCATTTCGTTCAGCAGCAGAAACACCTGAAACGCAAACCAACAGCTGACTGAAGGATATTTTTTTCGGGGGAAAGACACACAGCATAAAAACTGTGGATATGAAAACAATAAAACACACTCTCTTGACTTTAAGTCTAAAAAGCAACATCTATCCACATCTTGTACTATCAATCACATTTTACATCAAATCCTGTGCAGTTTGGATTCCTGGTGAACTAGTATAGGTGGATTTAAACAAATGATAACAGAAGGTGATCAGAGATGATGTAAGTGACTAACAACTAACCAATGGAAAATCTACAAATTCCACTTTAACAGTAAATGTGTTTTTGAATAAATTATCTATATGCTGTATGTGAATTAATATACAACAGAATAGGAAAAAAAACACATTAATGATGGGATTTAAATGCACAAGAGAAATGTACTTGCTTATTGACTCACCACGGATGGCAAAAATGAAGGTCTTGTCACTCTCGTTATTTATGCTAGTGATCTTGAGGTGATAAAGTCCAACATCTGTGTTTGTGGTGTTTGTGATGGTCAGAGATCCAGTCTGATGATCCAGCTTCAGTCTGTCTCTGAATCTCTCATCACACTGATCATCTGTACAGATCTTACTCTCATCTCCAGTGATTTCAGCGATGCGAGTGCTATTAAAATACCATCTAATTCTGCCTTGTTGGTTTGCTTTAACACTAGTTTGAAAACTGACTGAATCTCCCTCCATCACAAACACTAACACTCCATCTTTACCAACAGCAAAAAAACCTGAAAAAGAAATTAACAGATAATTATGAGCCAAAAAGTTTGTAGGTAGAGAAATCTGTCTGGATTCATAATATAACACATCCAAACAAACAGCAGAAGAACATCATTGATTTACACATTCACTCATCAGACAAAAATAGTGCCACGAATGATCTTATGAAACTAACTGAACATCATATAAACCACATCCTGTTTCAAATTTTACTCCCCCCACCCAATCTGTGCATTTACACAACTAAGCATTTGTATACTCAAATTCATAATGAATATTATCCATAAAGATGATCTCATGTGCCTTATAATCTTTAATCAAAGTAACTTTCCCTTCCTCTCATAGTGACATCTCTTTTCTGATGATGTTTTCTCATTGTCTGAAACCTCTACTGTCACCATGCTGAGAATAATTGGGAGTAAAATGCAGAGGCGGTGTAAACATTATGGTTACTGAACTAAAGCACAAAGTATACTTAATTTTTTTACATGATGCTAGCCTATGTACACGGTCGAATGCCTAGCCTTTCAAAGTATGAGGTGTGTCCAGAAAGTAATGAGAATGAAGTTCCTATTCTCAAGAGGGTGTCTGTGAAGGAAGAAGCTGGGGTTTGAAGGTCAATGGGGTGGGCTGCCAGGTATACGTTGGAAAACTGATCAGAGGCATTTCAGCCCTGTCAGAGTCAAGACATTCGTTTTTGTGACACCTTGTTCAAGTGCCTCAGTGGAACAGTGGAACGTGATAAAATTGTGTGTGAAATTGGGTAAAAGTGCATCAGAAACTTTGTTTCTGGAAAGCTTATGGAAAAGCGAGGAAAGCTTATGGAAAAGCTTATGGAGAAGCACTATCATCTGCATCACCACCACAACGCACCAAGTCACAGTGCTTTGGCTGTCAGAGTGTTATTGGCTGAAAAACACATCACGGTACTTCCCCATCCACCCTACAGCCACAACTTGGCTCCTTGCAACTTTTTCATATTCCCAAAGATGAATAATGGTTTGAAAGCACACCACTTTGGTAGTGTGGATAACGTCCAAAGAGCCACTACTCAGTCACTGAACGCCATCCCACTTGATGACTTCCAGGGATCCTATAAAAAAATGGAAAAATCGATGGGAGCGTTGTGCACACTCACAAGGTGCATACTTTGAAGGAGACCATGTTTAATTATACAATTTTTCAATAACATTTTTTTTTTTTAATATTCTCATTACTTTCTGGACACACCTTGTATACTCTATTTAGTGTGTGCGAAAACAGGCGGTTGACACATGCACTCTAAAAAGCTTAATTTTTGTCCAATGTCTGCTATTTTTCTCCAGATGTTATGACTGTTATAAACCAGATCCCTGCCATTCCTCCCACTCACCACCAGAGTGCTCCATCACCATTCTGACTGTTTCCAATCGGATTGCATTTCCCAAAATCCCCTGCCTCGGAACCAATTATGGAATCCTCCCATTGTCAATCAGGAGGACTATAAGGCCGTGTGTCCACCAAAGCATTTTTAGCCAGCTGAAAACGCAGCCTTTTTTCCATTGAGTTCCGTGGTTACTATGATACGGAATATCCGCTAAAGTAATGGCAGACATATCGCGAATGAAATGTTACTCCAAGCATAATTTTTTATAACAATGATATGGTAGACCGGCATTTTCATATGGTAAAGACATTAATCCTCGGAGACAAGCAATATTAACTTCTCGATTGTTATTTAGTCATAGTACAAGCAGGATGTGACGGTTTCTCGGTATTAGTCCCGCCCCCTCCTCCACTGTGATTGGTTAGCTGACCAAAAAGTGACAGTGATGAGCGCTGTGTTTTATCCAAAGTTGAACATTCTTCAACTCTCAGCACCAAGAAAAAAACACCGGAACACTCAGACCGAATAAGACGCTCAGCGCTCGGCACGCTCTGGTGTTTTAAAAAACGTGGCACTCCCACTAAGAACAATTGAAAAAATATGCCAGCCTTGGGAAAAAACTGTCCTATTCTTTTTGAGGGAGTAACGCAATATTGTAATGCATTACTTTTAAAAGTAACTTTCCCCAGCACTGCAGCTTTAAGATATGAATAGAAATATAATGGATCTGCTGCATACTTCTCCCATGACAAGATACATTTTTATGTTGTAACGACAGCAAAGAGTGCTTGGCTGTCAAAATTGTGTTCTGTATAGCAGAAATAACATTTTGAACACAAAGAAAACATTTTTTTTTACTTGAATAATGATCAATTATGTGCTCTTGACTCAGATGATGACTTAGTAACATATATGCCATTGCCAGATTTGTTCAGTGGTTGGTTCAAAGAGATGCAATGATACAGTAGCTTCTCTACAGCTACTGCTGTCATGATATTTGTAGATATAAACACATGAATAATGTGATTTCAACGTATAAGACTTGCTTTTAAACAAAATGACTCACCATAGATTGTAACATTGAAGATCTTTTCACTGAAGCCACTGCTGCTGATGACCTTCAGTTGATAAAGTCCAGAGTCTGTGGTTCTGGTGTTTGTGATGGTCAGAGATCCAGTCTGATGATCCAGCTTCAGTCTGTTTCTAAATCTCTCATCGCCATCTTTACACTGAACATCTGTACAGATTAAACCGAGATCTCCACTGATTTGAGCGATACGACTGTCTTTAAAATACCACCTAATCTTTTCTTGTTGGTTTGTTTCAACACCAGTGTGTAGAGTGACTGGATCGCCCTCCATTCCTGACACTGACTCACCAAACACGCCTGAAGAAGAAATGAACAGTTAATTATAAGTCAAATAAAATTACACCACAGGAAAATGCAGTGAAAATGTTTTTCTATAGATCATGAAGGTTGAGAGATCTGGCTGGATTTATCATGTAACACATGCATATAAACAGCAGAAGAACATCATTGATTTACACATTCACTCATCAGACAAACATACATGAGCCTCACGGACGTGGCTTGATGACCACCATACAAACCACATCCTGAATCACACAGTTCTGCTTAGTTTACATAACCCTTGCAAAATATTCACAATGTTAATTTTAACAAAGTAAGAGGGATTCCAAAAACTGCATGTTATTTTTGATTTAGTAGTGTCCCGAATAAGCTATTCCATGCAAGAGATGTTTACATACAGCCCACAAGACAAAACAACTTAATTTACAGAAATAAACCAGATGAGAGCCATCTTTTCACACTGGGGACGATTAAAGTACTCATACACAACTATTTAAAAAGGTGAAAACATTTACTGATGCTCATGAAATAAACAATGCATTAAGAGCCTTTTTGAATTTAATGATCAGGATAAATTACACTTATTTTGTGTGTTTCCGTCTAGAGCATAAGTGCATGTTTTCACTCTTTGTAATAGTTTGAGTCCCTCAAGTACCATAAGTGTGGACAAAATGGATCTCAAAATCAGTCACAATATAATCCTACTTATTTTGTCATACTTGAAAGGGTATGTAAACTTATGAGCTTATGTATTGTGTGTATTCATATTCAACTTTATAATGAATATTACTTATTAGGAATACTAAATAGCTGCACATTATGCATGAAATGTTTTTATTTAATACTAAAATTGTTGTACAATTTGTATAATTGTAACATACAAAAGTTCTTTGCAATCAAATATTGTTTTAAGTTCTGCTGATTAAATCTCACACATAACGTTTTCATTTAGTTTTATGAAAATTGACGGATTCATTACCATTTGTATAACCACAATTGTACTACACATACCATGGTTAAACTATGGTTAGTGTAGCAAAACCATGATTAATTTGTGGTTACAATGGTTAAATTATAATAACATGTTTTTTTATTATTATTGTAGTAAAGCCATGGTTAATTTTATGTATGGTCTTAATTAAGGGTAGTGTTAGGAGTATGGCGGAGGTTTGGAGATTAGTTAATCCTCACATCATCACACCACAGGAATGTAACGCTGGTAACACATTCTGTCGAGTTATTTCCGTAAAAACGTACAGCCTATAGCTTTACCACATTTCAGATTTCTGCATGTCTAACAGCTTCAGTTGTGACCCACAAAGCATGCTACGCATGTTTGGTACTGTTTTTTTTTACTGAAAACCTTACCTTTTAAACGCAAATTGAAATCGCCAAAACACCGAAAGAGAGATATAAAGCCTATGTCTTACCATGGTCGAGTAAACAACAGAGCAATAAGGGCGAAATATAGAGAAGCTCCATTTTCACCAGGTTTCCGAAAAAAAGCTTTTACTTTTTGTAAAGTGCTTTGCATTTGTTGTTTCTGTTTATTAAACAATATGGCCTTTCGGGAGTGAAAGTGAAAGTGCACTGCAGCGTGATGAGGTAAAAGCTAAATTGGGAGGCTCCCTGCACTACAGAGGAACGACGTAGAGACGTTTCTTCACGGTCTTTAATCTGCATTACATAAAAAAATTAAAAAAATCGTCTGTGTAAAGTGCTGTGTAAATGATGTTTGATGGTCTAAGTATATAACTGTTGTTCATAGCTAGTGTTCATCAATTTTTTTTGTTCTGAATGTTGAAGTTTTATATTTCTTAAATGAATATATGTACAGTATAATTTGGCATTTCATTATTATGGACATATTATCTGGATAAAAATGCTTGACCTGCTGAAAAAAAAAAATAGACACATCACAAAATTTGTAATGGTTTTACTGGTTATAATGGGACTTGTATTGGTTTTAATGGAATCTGTAATGGACCCTGTTGGTCTCTACTGGTAATTGGTCACGGTCTATTGGTGGCTTGTTAAAACCAATAAATCCTAATAGAATATGTCTCAAAACACACTGCAGGAAACCATTTTTTAATGGTTTTAATGGTTAAAAGTTGATGGTTTGTAATGTTTGTAAAGGTATTTGTAGTGGAAACCATTAGAATTTTCTCTGATGTTTCTATTGTTTTTTTTTTTCAGCAGCTTTCACAGACACAAACAAAAGTAACCACAAAAGACCACTGCTTAACTTAGTTTGTTATTAGTTAGTCAGTAATATTGTGTTAAATTTAAATAATGGCTGTAACATTTAGTGTGTAGTGTGATTTTGGCCAATTGATTTTTGGTGATTTTTATCTCGGTTGTTCAGGGAGACAGAGCTTAAGAAGAGAGGAAGACAAGCATCTAGTAAAGCCTCTAGTACTAAGCGCTTGTAAAACTCTCTCTGTGTATAAGATGCAATTAGCAACCTTCTTCATTGACATTATAGAAATATTCTTCTTGAAAAAAAAAGTGTCTGGTATACACTCAAAACCATAACGTCAATGCTGTAGACGGACTAAACCCAAGCACAAAAACATATCTGAAACACTTTTAAATCACCAGCATAACATCACAATAAACACTAAAAAGTATTTACCTTTACTGAAAAGCACATGAAATAACTAATTTCAACATTTGTTAGCCTATAACACAGTATCAAGCAAAGCATGCTGGAACTAGATTCACAGTTAGTTATGCCAACTGTGAAAATTCATGTAAAATATTAAGCTTTTATTTAATGTGATGCTCATTTTAACAAAGCAACAACAAATCGTCTCAGGTTACGTATGTAACCCTGGTTCCTCGAGGGAACGAGACGCTGCGTCGGAAAACGATAGGGGAATGCCTTCTGTGACCATGCTCTGAATCACATATGAAATCAGTCCAATAGCTTAGCAGGACGTCACGGGCGGGTGACGTCATGACCAGGAAGGTATAAAAGCATGTGCGGCGGAGCCAGCGTCAGCTTCAGAAATGAGGCAAGCGCTGGCAGGGATGCCGGAAGTTTGGCACCGAGACGCAGCATCTCGTTTCCTCGAGGAACCAGGGTTACATACGTAACCTGAGACGTTCCTCTTCAGGAACTCGAGCTGCATCGGAAAACGCTAGGGGAAGGAGAATGCCCACGCCGCCAGACTTCCAAATCTCTGCCTAGTGTGGAAGACTGCACAGCTAGGGCGAGAGAACAGAAGAGCCCAGAGTGGCTAAAGTAGGCGGGGCCTGCCATCCCGAAGGCCAACTTCTGGAGGCCTGAGACCCAACTCGGCCCGGCCAGAACGGGGATACTAACAACAGACGGGCCCCGTCCCAGCGCACTCTCTCCAGAACTCCCGGGAGCAGAAAAATCAGAGGAAAGGCGTACAGACGAAGCCTCGCCCACATCTGTACCATGGCATCCAGCCCCAGTGGAGCTGGATGAGTCAGAGAGAACCAGAGGGGACAGTGTGATATCATATGAGTCGCAACAGGTCCACCTGAGCCTGGCCAAACACTCTCCATATCTGCTTTTCCAGACAATTGATATGCCACGTCAGATGGCGACCACTCCACAGACCGCGGGGCAGGGTGGCCACTCATGACTGCACCCGAACTGGTGAGGGATGCATCCGTTGCTAGCGTACGTGGCGACAAGGAGCTCCCAGCACCGGGCCCTTAGACAAGAACCAAAGTTTTTCTCCACATGTCTAAGGCACGTAGGCACCTCCACATGACCTTGAGCATGCAAAGCGGGTTTCCCCTCGGCGATAACCCCTTGTTCTTGTGCCACCACTGTAGGGGTCTCATGTACAGCAGGCCAAGAGTTATCACGTTGAACGCAGCTGTCATCAGCCCAAGCAGTCTGGAACTGCTTGACAGTGAGTGACCGGCCTTCTCTTACTCTTGCGACTGAGGTGAGGATCGACTCAATCCGAGCAGGAGACATACGTGCCTGCAACCTGGTCGAATCCCGCACCACGCCCAGATAAGTTGTTCTCTGTACTGGAGAAAGCACACTTTTCTTGGCGTTAAGTCTTAACCCCAGCTCTTTCGTGTGAGCGAGAACGTCATCTCAATGTCGAACCGCCATCCGCTCTGACTGAGCTAATATCAACCAATCGTTGATGTGGTTGAGTCGTGAAAGTGTGGGGTGAGAGTGCAAGGCCAAAGGAAGAAACCAGTATTGGTAGGCTTTTGCCCTCAAAAGCAAACCTCAGGAACTTCCTATGATGAGGAAGCATGGAGATATGTGCATCTTTTAGATTGATCGTGACACATCAGTCTTTGGATTTGGTCTGAGACACGAGCTGTTTGAGTACGAGTGTGTTGAATTTCAGTCGCATGACTGAGCGGTTCAATAGGCGCAGATCTAAAATAGGATGCAACCCCCTATCCTTCTTCGGAACAATGAAGAACCGGCTGTAGAACCCGGAGTCTGTCTCGTGTGGAGGGACCACCTCGATGGCCTCCTTCTTTAAGAGAGTAACTACTTCTTGTTCTAATACCAGAGCCTGCTCGGGACCCACTGCTTCCTAATCACCACACGGGACACCGGATCTGGTGATTAGGAAGCAGATCCATACGCGAAACCCACGAGCACAGCCGCCACTCCGCCTCGGCGAAAGCAGGGCCGGCACCGTGAGGAACGCTAGTGAAGGCTCCCTCCTCAAAGAGAGCCCTCTGAGAGCGAAGCAAGGCAGCAACAACTGTGCTTCGCTCCCAAGCAAACCACGAACAGGCTGTGTGTACCCCCACTCGTGATATAACGTGGGCAGGGAGGAACACACAACCTATAACGTGGCTTGCTCTCACCCTTGAAATGCTTTGTCTTTGCATGAGCTTAGACATAGCTGGCGCTTATAGACTTTTCACAATTGACAGACAACAATAAATATGACTGACACACACAGAGCGCTTCGCTGAATGACAGAAAGCTGACGTTGGCTCCGCCGCACGTGCTTTTATAGCTTCCTGGTCATGACGTCACCCGCCCGTGACGTCCCGCTCAGCTATTGGACTGATTTCACATGTGATTCAGCGCGTGGTCACAGGAGGCGTTCCCCTAGCGTTTTCCGACGCAGCTCGAGTTCCTGAAGAGGAACTTATTTTCAGTGTATTTAATGTTGTGTTTAGCTGTCAATCTGTGTAGTTTATCAATGATGTATGATGGGTAAGAATCCAGTTTGACCTCTTACCAATGACTCTTCTTTGACTGTTTTTTGTTTTGATGGACTGATTCAGTACTTCATTTCACTGCAAATCAGTTCTATGTAGAGAGGAAGTCAGACTGTGAGGTTCATAACAGCAAGCCCTTCACCTACAAGCTAAACACACATCAAACAAATGTCCACATACAAGACATTTGTCCACCCGGCAGATCAAACCACGTTTCTGAAGAAAACCGACCACAGTAGGTTTCAGTTTGACTCAGAAGATGAGCTGCTTGTGTCACACCTCAGTAAGACTGGCAATGAGAGACTGCAAATTGATTTAACTTTTTTTCTGTTTTGTTCTTCCATACATACACTCATCGATATATAGATAATTCAAATAAATTATCATAAAAAGTGAATTTCTACATTTTAATTATACAAGATTCACACAATGTTCTTCTACATTTACATATTTAATTAACATTACATAACATCAGACAACTATATTATTAATGTTAAAGGATATGAAAAGAAAAAAAATCCACTATTTAAATAGTTAAAGTCTTAATAAGAGCCAGAAGAAGATTTTTTATGTAACTAAATAACATACGTTCAGATCATGAGAACTAGGAGGGTCAAACTCTGTCGTGGGAGGATTCACACCAGTCTGACTGTTATCAGCAGATAGACTTCTTAGTTCAGACTTTTCACTGAACAACTGAAGAAAATGTTTCACATGTTTATTTTGTTCTCTTTGTGCTGGTGGAGTCTGACTGGTAAGTTATACAAGCATTTTTTCTAGCTTAATCATTTAGAACAGCGTAACAAGCTACTGTTAGTTTTAATTTGCTGTCAGATAGATCAAAGCAAGATAATATATTAAGATCTACTTTGGATTGTGATTTACAGGTCTGAAAACATCAAAGAAATTGATGCATTTACAAGCCAGGAAGAGTAAAGGCACATTTATATGGTGAATAAACTTAGTAGGCTCAGAAAGTGAGGTGCTTTTCACATTTTTTTTTATATATATAGTAATTTCAAGGATTGTTACTGGACATAGAAACACAAATAGCCATCTCAAATAAAGAAAAAAGAAAAAAAAGAAAAATTATTCTGGAGTAACTTTTTGATTATTCAAAAAGCAAATAATGTTTAATTTCAAACTACAGCTGCTTTCAGTAAACCAACAAAAGTCTTAATCTGTTCTTGTATGTTCTTCAGGTATGTTTGGTGCTGAAACAAATAAAATACAGTCAGTGTCAGTGATGGAGGGAGATTCTGTCACTTTACAGACTGGTGTAACTAAAATACAATACGACGATGACATACTGTGGAAATTTGGCGCTGAAAAGTCTCTCATATTTAAAATCAGCAATGAGAAACGAATTTTCTCAACATTTGATGTTACTGATGAGAGATTCAGAGACAGACTGAAGCTGGATCATCAAACTGGATCTCTGACTCTCAAGAACATCTCATCTGAACACGCTGGACTCTATGAACTAGAGATAAATGGAGCAAAACTGACATCAAAAACATTTAGTGTTTCTGTCTATGGTAGGTAGAGATCTTGTCCATCACATATATATATAGAAGATAAACTCAATTAACATTTGTGACAATGTTGATTAACACAAAATAATTAGTCGGGGCAAATACGTTGTACAATTATATACAATTTTACTCAAAACAGGTTTACTGTAGCTACTGTTGAAACAGTTTGTATTTTAACATTTACGAATCACCCCCTATTCAGTGCCTCACTGTAACCCAGATTTTTGCTTTTCTGCAGGACAAATGGAAATACATTTTGTGGTAATCAACATTATGCCTAAAATATAACACTCACAGACCGTCAACACACTACACCGAAAATAAAACAGATTTTTAGATTTAGATTTTTTTTTTCTTCACTCATGTTTTTCAGCTCATCTGCCCACTCCTAACATTACCAGAGATTGCTCTTCTTCATCATCATCATATTGTTCATTGGTGTGTTCAGTGGTGAATGTGAGTCATGTGACTCTCTCCTGGTACAAAGGAAACAGTTTATTGTCCAGCATCAGTGTGTCTGATCTCAGCATCAGTCTGATTTTTAGATTTAGAATTTTTTTTTCTTCGCTCATATTTTTCAGCTCATCTGCCCACTCCTAACATTACCAGAGATTGCTCTTCATCATCATCATCATCATCATATTGTTCATTGGTGTGTTCAGTGGTGAATGTGGGTCATGTGACTCTCTCCTGGTACAAAGGAAACAGTTTATTGTCCAGCATCAGTGTGTCTGATCTCAGCATCAGTCTCTCTCTACCTCTGGAGGTGGAATATCAGGAGAAAAACAGCTACAGCTGTGTGCTCAACAATCCCATCAGCAACCAGACTCAACACCTCAACATTACTGAACTCTGTCAGCCATGCCCAGGTATGTTGGTGTTGATATTAATGTGATTAAGAGTATCTCTTAGTTATACAGTGATGATATTTCAGTGTTTCTTGTAGATCAGACAGATTTACTGACACTAATGTTTCACTTTGTCAATTACAGATCAGGGCTTACCTTTATTTTACATAGTGCTGATTCCTTCTGCTGCTGGATCTCTGTTAATTGTAGTTTCAGTCGTGATCTGCTGCATCTGCAGGAAATGTAGAAAAACAGGTAAGGAGAACAAGCTGCATGAATATTTATCTTTAAGACACAAATTTTGATACAACTGTCATTTTAACATGTCTGTATTATTGTTAATGCAGCCCAGACCCAAGAGGAAGACAGAACTGATTCAGCTTTGTGTAAACCAACAACACGAAAAACGGTAAGATCATTCATGACTGTGTTGCAAAAAGATGTGTTGCAGTCAATCTGATTGAAGTTTGCAGCATCAGATGATCAGTGAACAGACGTGGGTGGACTATTGGCCTGACCGTTACCTGCAGTAGAAAGCACATCAAAAGGACAGTTTAAGAAAGTTTTTTTTCGTGCTATCTACACTAAGCCTGTGTACTTTGTTCCTCAGTGTAAGTTTTTCCATGTTGCAGTTTTTCCATTATAATCAGTGAAGTTGTGTAATTGCCTCATTATGCATCTTTAGTTTATGGACAGTCCGTTTATAAATTTTGACCTGCTGCTGTCTGACGGTAAGGTGATTTTATTGAACATATCATAAATTAGGTGTTATGTATTGTATCCTACATGTAAATCCACTACAAAGACAGCTCCTGATGTATCTGTGGCCTACTCATTTAAATCGCGGTTTGTTTAAAAAAATATCTAAACAGTTCTATCTATAAATACATTGGTTTTTTATCCTGAAATATCCCTTACAAAGTCTGTTTTAGATTTGCATTGTAAAGAAAGTAGAACACAAAGCTGTTAACCTGTGCTTTGACAACGAGCTGCAGCTGCTCTGCGGTTCATGATCATCTGAGGTGAAATGCAGCTTTAGCAGTCATTGGTTGATTTGTAGACGTGCTGCAAGCAAGTATCTTTGCTGTTGCTTTTGTGTGAAAGAAAATAATTCAAAGCCATTTTGCTGTTGTAAGAAACCTTCAGAATTTGTGATGAAGATTTTTGATGTCATATCCTTATGCTGGTCCATGTTAGCATATGTTGTTGCACATTAAAAATCATCTTAATGTACAAGATCAACAAAAATTGATGGAAAAATTGTGTTCTTCTGAGGATTTTACAAGTAGTCCTACTTAAGTCAATTATAAAGTAGTTCTGTTACATCAGCAAGGTTCCTGATTGATTGATTGATTTTGTGTTTCCTTACAGAAATCAAAGACTGACGCTGTGTATGAAAATGTCCCCAAAAAGCGATGATCAAATACTGTATCTACTGGATTTTTTCTGTTAGATCTCATACTGGATAATACCTCACCTTTTCATTCACATTCATTCTCTTCCACGATGTCACTGTTTTGTCTGTATCATATCTTTGGTGTTACTGTAATGTCTAAAATGTTATTTTAAAGGGGTCATATGATGCGATTTCAATTTTTCCTTTCTCTTTGGATTGTTACAAGCTCTTGGTGCATAAAGAAGATCTGTAAAGTTGCAAAGACTAAAGTCTCAAATCCAAAGAGATATTCTTTATAAAAGTGAAGAGTCAACCTTCGGCTCGTTCTAACACGCCCCCACATGTCTACATCACTATGTGAAAACATTAGCATAATGCCGCCGAAATGTGCACGCAAAGAAAGAAGGCTTGGTTACAGGAACCGCAGTAGTGTTGATGCAGCCATGTCAGTGAGACGCTGTGTGTTTCAGTGCGAAAACAAAAGCACTTTATTTGGCCTTCTGGAAGGAGATGCAATTAGGAATCATTGGTTAAGATTTATTTACAACAGAACAGCACAACCCAGATGTTTGAATTTGTGCAACGCATTTTATGGATGACAGTTTTTTGAACCTAGAAGAGTACAAGGCTGGCTGTGCACAAAGGCTACACACCTTCTGTCATTTACCTGTCATTTACTGTTCCTGTTTTATTCTTTTTACAAAATATAATGGAATATCGAGTGCACTGTATAGTATCACACACGGTTTGTTCTGTTGTTAGCAAAAGTAGCACAAGCGCATCATCCTCCTCCTGGTGGCCAATGCAGAAAATCACATCTCTAATAAAAGCACTACTCTTACCGATAGGGTGCGCTATAAATACATACTGAATGCACAAAATAAAGATAGGTCTGCTTGATCATCGTCCTGCCTCCTGGCGCCTGTTTGAACAATAACCAACTCAAATAAACATAGATTACAGTGTCTAAAAATGGCATAGCCAAGTAAAAACAGACCATGTACCCAGTACTGCTGTCATTTTATGGGAATGACAACTGCACTGTACAACTGAATGAGCTTTTGAAATTTGCAGGTGACAGCCACATTTGTATAGAAACTTAATGTATTACTTTTGCTTTTTTTGTAACATTTACAGTTTGACTCGTCCATTACTATGTGAAATATATCAGTGTCTGGTTGATGCATTTAACGGACTCACTCACACATGGCCCATTTTAAAGATAGCAGCTTTCAGTTTGACTCAGAAGATGAACCTCAGTAAAAGCGAAAGTGTGCGAGGGCAGACAGTTTTAACTTTATACTTTTGATTTTTCCATTCACTAACATTAAGAACTGTATAATATACACAACCATTTAAAAATCACAAGACTTTTGTTCAATTTGACCATGAAATGTAGTTTATCCACAGTTCACACAATATCCTTATACGTTTAGCCATTTAACACAGTCAAGCAACTACCTTACAAAAAGTAGGCTTATGTTAAATGATAAAAATATTTTCACCCATTAAGAACAGCTAAACTCCTAAGGGCCAGATAACATTATATAATATGCATATGCAGAGTGTGAACGAGGAGGGTCCAACACTGTAGTGGGAGGATTCACAAATAGCTTGAGTGTTTTTAGAGGATAGTATTCTTAGATCAGTCACTGAACCACTGAAGAAAATGTTTCACATATTTGCTTTGTTCTGTTTGTGCTGGTGCTGTCAGATTGGTAAGTTATAAAAACAATGTTATGGTTTCAGTTTTTTGAGCTGCAGCTTTTGTTAAGAATTAGACTATTTTCATCTGCTACTGTCTGTACCAAATAAATCATCATTATTATTAGATCTACTTACATTTTTTGGAATTTTACAATGACATTATGCTGATTTAAGTGTCTCATTTACTACATATTAAAAATATTCAGCACAATTAAACTGTGTAAGTTTACACATTGATTTTGCTCCACTGCAGATAACTTTAAAACAATTTAAAAATCAAGGGGTAAGACAAACCTATTTTTCATACAGTACGAGACGTACCTTTCATTTTGTCCCTCTGCTGCTGTTGTAATGTTTTTTTAGTTCATCTGTAAATTATAATAACAGCTTATTTCAGGATTTGTTAACCATCAGGAACTTTACAAACCCATTTATGTTCATCAGGTGCGTTTGGTGCAGAAACAAATGAAATACAGTCAGTGTCAGTGATGGAGGGAGATTCTGTCACTTTAAAAACTAATGTTACTGAATTACATGAAGACGATGAAATAGCATGGAAATATGGAGCTGAAAAGTCTCTTATAGGTGAAATCAGCGATGAGAAACAAATCTTCTCAACATTTGATGTTCCTGATGGGAGATTCAGAGACAGACTGAAGCTGGATGATAAGACTGGATCTCTGACAATCACAAACATCACATCTGAACATGCTGGACTCTATGAACAACAGATAAGGGGAGCGAAACTGTCATCAAAAATATTCAGTGTTGCTGTTTATGGTGAGTAGAGAACATTTGTCCTGCCATTCACATATTCTTGTTTTATAGCTCAATGTGACAGATTGTATAAAAACACACTAAACCATAAAAAAAATAAAAATGAAATGGTTTATTTTTATCCGTATTTCTGTTTATATTCTTATGTATTCAGCTCATCTGCCTGTACCTGTCATAAGAAGAGACTGTTCTTCGTCCTCCTCCTCCTCATCGTCATCATATTGTTCATTTGTGTGTTCAGTGGTGAATGTGAGTCATGTGACTCTCTCCTGGTACAAAGGAAACAGTTTATTGTCCAGCATCAGTGTGTCTGATCTCAGCATCAGTCTCTCTCTACCTCTGGAGGTGGAATATCAGGATAAAAACAGCTACAGCTGTGTGCTCAACAATCCCATCAGCAACCAGACTCAACATCTGGACATCAGTCAACTCTGTTACTCGTGTACAGGTATGGTAATGGTGATATTATGAATGAATAGTTTATTAATTGAGCTGACCTCTGTCTATTGTTGTGGATCAGACTCAATAACTTACATCAATGTATATGACAGTGTTGGTCTCTGTTGTTGCTGCTGGATCTCCGTTGATTGTCGCTGGATTTGGGATCTTCTGCATCTGCTGAAAATTTAGAAAAACTGGTCAAGAAGGCAAATGAAACCTACTGATTTTAATCAATTGATAACTCATTATAATTCAATATAATTCATGAATGTAACACCATTCAGTTTCTAAATAATGTGTGTGGTTAGTGGTTTTTGCAATGATCTGCCCTGGGCAGCTCTCTTTATTCATGTCACGTGCAAAAACTGATTCTGTTTTTACCATTTTACTCTGCTAGCGGGAAAAAGTTATAATGTCACACATATGTTAATGCAATTTTAAAATTGCTTTATTAAATATATCTAATTAATTGTGTGCATTAATGATCCAACTTTGACAGCCCTAAAATAACCTACTGTAAAAAACGATCTAGTTGAGATTTGCCCATTATTTATCCATCTATTTGAGTTATAATCCATTACTGTTGTTCAAACAGTTCAGATTTGTGAAGATGAGATCACTCGTGTCGTTATGATACATGAGCCAACGTTCTAAGAAAGAAATGCACATAAATTGGAAAGATCATGTTGTGTGTCTCTGTATCGTTTCAGCAGTGTGTCAGATGTATGTCAGTGTGCGCTTGTGTTTTTGTCTGTATAATGATCTGGTTACATAACATATCACATAGTAATATAAAAGACTAACAGCTATTTACTTTCTTCAGTGTAGCTCCAGAAGAAGCCATTTTACTGTTAAATGTGTATCGCTGACATTCAAGTCTAGTTGATTTATTTATTATTATTTTTTTTTTATTATTGTGGCTTTAAGAGTCTATCTGTAAATAAAAGGAGTCAGATTAATTTACTTTCATATTTTGAACTGGAATGCATTTGTAAAGCAACTGAGACACTAAAACACTAGAATATTATAACAACTGAATAAAAATGTTTTAAAGGTGTCGCAGACAGCAGGGAAAATGAATAAAATACAACTAACCATAAAATTGTTTAAAAGAAATGACAATAAATAAACTTTTAAAGGGAGAAAGAAACTGTATCAAACTACTCTATGGCATAAATTCATTCAGGAAATTATTCACTTCATGCTAATATTAATATATTATTGGCCATATTTATGTTATGTCTGCATTTTCAGTTTTCCTATACATCTTTATTATTCATATTTATTGTTACCACATTTCATTATTTAATTTTCCCAAACCATTGATATTTGTTGTTCTTTATTTTAAATGATTTATTATATATTATTATATTATATTATACAACCTTTTTTCCAGGAAGTTGAAGAGGAGGATGAAGTAGAAGAGTATGTGCCTGCCAGCATGAGAAGATGATCAAACTTTAATCTTTTTTAAGTATGTTTTAATGTGATCATTTTTAATAGGAAACTCTTGTGACAAACTTATAGTTTGAGACTATTGTATTAGTATTAAGATTTATATTCACGGAACCTTCATACATTGATACGCAGTGCAAGTTTCAGTTTCAGCATTAGCAGAGTTAGCAGAAGACCTATTCTTGTCGATATCACATCCTATTTTTATAAAGATCCTTTTTCTTTGTCTGACAATGCCTTAGAATCATTTTAAGAATACATTCAATATATTACTCACTGTTGTAAAATCTATGGTATTATGCAAATGTGTGGTTAATAATAATTGTAATATTAAAAGTCGGCTAACTAACTAAAAGGAGAAACACTGCTATCAGAATTAATTTCTTCAGTAGCATAACAACACTGATGTCCAAAGGTAAAACACAAAAACAAATACACCAAAATTCAATAGAAACGCAGTTTTCAACATCTTAAACCATTTTTACTCACTTTCATTTATACTGCATTTTGCTGTTGCTGGTGGAACAACTCCTGAGCAGTAATGCAGAGTTCACACTTCACGATTTTTAAAGTCGTCGGATCACTATCTGGGGTAGCATTCAGTTGCTGCTGTGTTCACATTGCACGATGGATCGGCGACAGGAGGTTATGCCAAGTTCACACTCCACGCTTTTAGCCCCTATTTTCACATTTGCCGACAGGATTTGCGAAATCGACGACAAATGTTCACAGTTGTTGTTGAATGTAATAATGAACATAGCACTATAAATGAACAGTTATTAATGTACAAAGAGCTATTTTTCGCCACTCAATGGTGTAGTTAAATCTAACAGCAGGAGTTGTTTTAATAGAAAGTGTTTTTTCTTACAGCGTAGAGCGCCATCTGGTGTTCAAAATAAAATATAACATCTTCAACAATAATATTAAAGGGGTCATCGGATGCAAAATTCACTTTTACATGTAGTTCGAACATAAATGTTGGCAGTGTTTGCACACATCCACCCTATAATGATAAAAATCCACCCAGTGTTTTTTTTTATTTTTTATCTCTATAAATAAAATCCCCTTTGTCAAATCAAGCCATTATCAGATTCTTGGCTGTGTGATGTCACACAGACCCAGGCCCCTCCCACGACTGTTGATTGACACTGGTGTTTTACCTGAGACCCGCCTTGAGTGAGCTGTGAACAGTCATCCATTGTTTCACTGCTGGAGCAGAAGTAGACAAGAATGTCTCCTAAGCACAGTGCCGATCGTAGATTTCTGAGGGCCCTACGCAAAACTGTGTCGGTGGGGCGGGGGTTGGGTTTGGGGTGGTGGAGTGGGGTATGAGTGATTATGAACAAATGAATGAAACGCATTTGTCCGTGTTTCACTCCGTCTCGAATCGCGCTCCCGGAAAGCACTTGAGAAACAGCGTCCCTTCCCTCAGTACGTTTTCAACTAGTTTTTTTTAGTCTCGAGCAAGACTGTACGACATTCACATTACAT